TGAAAAGGCTTAAGAACAATAAATCGTTACTGGAAGAATCTAGGTGGTCGGTATACAGTTGTCCACTGTAAAGTTCCTTCAACTTTTCTACATGTTTGAAATTTTTCATAAACAACGTGTTAGGGGGAGAAAGAGATGCAATGTGATTAAACACCAGAATACAACAAAAGTAAAAATGATAATTAAAAAATATTTTTAAAAACTTACCCAAATCTGCTATGCAACACTGTCCATTCTTTTTCACCAAGATGTTTTTGCTCTTTAAATCTCGATGGGCAATGGCTGGTTTCCCTTGGGTCCCAAATATTTCTATGTGCAAATGTGCAAGACCACTAGCAATAGACAATACTATTCGAAGGCAGCTAACTGTATCCAGAGTAGTGAGCTGAAGATAGTCATACAACGATCCCATTTCATGATAATGTGTAATTAACCACAACTGGGTACTGGAGTGTCTTGATGTCATGTCTGAAGCAATGAAACCTAGAGACAGCAAGAACAAAATTGACACACATATTCCACATTGTAACTCTTAGTATCTGGAAATAATGACCTACATAGTAGATATCATCTATAACAAAAAATAACTAAACAAACCAATTGCCATGAGAGGAGGTTTACAGAAACATCAACAGAAAAAAAAATCATTGATTCCTTAAAAAGCCATTGCTGATGAATGGAAAAATTTGATATTAGTTNAAAAAAATCATTGATTCCTTAAAAAGCCATTGCTGATGAATGGAAAAATTTGATATTAGTTCCCATTGTAAGTAATTCTTTTAAAAAAGTATTACATTACATTAAGATTCACATGGGAATAATATTGTTGTGCTCACCCATAATGATAGTGCCAAACTCTTCCTCACATTGATATTTGAAGCACAGATCATTCATCAACCTCCCTAAAAGGACATAAAACCTGGAACCTGGATACCTGTACTCTAGTCCTAACTCTGCCTGTGATTTGCTGCATAATATTGGGCAACTCATTTAGGCTCTCTGGCCCATGTCTGCTCAGATGTAAAATAAAGGGGTGTGTTTATATTTAATGGCTGATTCGTAATATAAAAAAAGAAACCAATCAAACACAATGAGCATTTATGATGCTCTTTGTCACACAGAAAAACCACACTGATAGTGTTTGTTGGCTAGAAAAGAAGACAGATGTTAAAAGAAAAAATGACAATACTATGTGAAAGGTACTGTAATATATATCCACAAAGGCCAACATGAGCCCAGAGTATGGAATCATAATAATTCTGGATGTTACAAATAGGTCTCCACCAGGAAGTGACAACTGAACTGGACTTGAAGGAAGTGAAATACTGACAGATGTGGACAAAGAGGTAGGAAGCGATTTTTCTAGATATTCTGAGGCGACTTTTGAGCACACAGAAGGAACTCTAGAAGTCAGAGGCACTTCTATTCTATTTCTATGAAATAAATTATGATATATGTGCTTGCCTTTTATGCTCCAGAGGTGTCTTTCTAGCATTATGCTTACATATATGAGCCATGTTAATAGACAGTAAAGTTTGGGACTTATAAAGAGAAGAGAACTTTTTTTATGTGTAATTTCTCAATTTTTTCATCTTTCTTTGAGAGAAAAAATTTTTTAAAAGACAGATATGGCTTGAGAAAGAATAAAATGACTTGTGAAAATGTAAAAGAAAATATATAAAAATGCCTTACACTTGCATAGTACTTTATATAGAATTTGTGTCACTTTCACATATATTTTCTCATGAGATTTTTCTCAACAGACCAGTAAGATAGACATCATTATATTCATTTTTCAGATAATAAAGTTGCTGCTGGGAGATGCCAAGAATCACAGAGCTATCAAGTTGCTACCAACTGCAAATTTGGTGCCTGCTGCCCTGATACCTTGCACAGGAAGGCTCTGTGAGCAAAGAAAGGTCTCCTATTTTATCATCATCATCATCATCATCATCACAGACAACAGAAGCAGCTAATAATTACTGAGCACTAACTATGCACAGGGCACTTGACAAGCAATCCTCCAACAACCACGTGAAGTAGGTTATACTCTAGAATATACTCTTGCCTGCTATACCATACTGCCCCACACAAGTTGACTTCTACTCAGAGAAAGCTAATTTGAAACTTGTACCTTTAGGATATCTGCAAAGCAAACTGAATAATATTTCGACTGCTACACCTGCTCCCTCCCTCTTTCTCTCTCTTCCTCTGAGCTGAATCCCATGCCAGCCCTTAGTCTGCCACTCACTCCTTCCACGCTCTGCAGTCTATCTTTGTCTCCCCATGGCTACTTCTCCTGGAGCCCTTAGCTTACCGTCATATGAATCAAAATGTGATCTAAGATTATTAAAGAGAATGTTCCTGCTTTAACAATTTAGACCACAAGATATTCATCTCTAATGACTTCTTCAAAAATAAATACCCCAAACTATAAAAGCACCACTCAAAAGAAATTAAATTACTGTTGTATATGTGTGGCCTCTACTGATTTATCCTAAGGGAAAGCAGCTTCTGATTAAATAAATAAATAAATAAAATACATTTTTATTCTCTCACCTTCTGTAAGTCCCATAGGTCTTAGAGAAGAATTCTATCTTGTTAATTATGCTCTAGACCTTCAGAAAAAATGGCTTTTATATAAGCAGGATTTCTTTTAACTCTGTATCTCTTAAGTGTGAATTATATAACTACATTTGCTTCACAATGTTAGAGCACTTTTATGTTTGTGTTTTGAGTCAAGGCACTGTCTACGGTTAGTAGAGGTAGAACAGGTGGCTATAATTTGGGACTCTGGCACAGCCAGAGATGTGTTCATAACAGGGAGAGAAAGTGTTGAGGGAAAAAGCCTCTACTTAACAGCCAAAGTCATCCTCCCAGGCTCCCCAAGAGCTAAAATAAAAGCCAGAGTCTTAAGTGAGGTAACCAGGGCCCTTTGTAAGCCTCTCACTGGCAATGCTGCCAGGAACCAGGTACTGGGCAGCTCTGAATGCTGAAATGTGAGGCCACCACACAGAGCATGGTTGTTGAGGGCAGTGGGACCCAGAGCCATACTACTATGTTTACATACTGGCTCTCCCATCCCTGAGCTGCCCAAGTCACAGAAAATCTCTGCCTTGGTTTCCTCATTTATAAGATGAAGATAATATCAACATATATCTTAGAGGGTTATCATGGGAATAAAAGAGTTATTACATGTCAAGTGTTCACATGATGCTTAACACACACTAAGTGTTCAAGGATAGTTGGCTATTATTATATATTATTATACAAAATAGCGCAGGATTCAATTAAAACCACAATAACTTCGTAATTTAGTATCTTTTGTGGGTAGTTTCCTTCACTTACAAGTGGTCTCAAAATATGCTGACTGATTAAACAGTTAGGCAATACATTTTTAAAGACAGTTCTGGAGATGGATGGTGGTGGTGGTAACACAATACTAGAATGCACTTAATGCCACCAAACTGTACACTTCAAATGATTAAAATGGTAGATTTTAGGTTATGCATATTTTACTACAATTTTTTTAAAGAGTGTAAGACAAGACTTTGGAGTAAAATTCTCATATTAACTCAACCTCCTTCCTTTTAGTTATTAGGAGAAGAATGCTCAGAAAGACACAACTTTTTTTTTTTTTTTCCCCTTTTTGTCTTTTTTCGTGACCGGCAACGGATCGCAACCCTCAGTGTCGCGCCCGTACCGGACCGGGACCGGCAACGGGATCGCAACCCTCGGCGTTGC